GGGTCTTGAACCCGCGGGCTCAGGCAATCCACTCACCTCAGCCTCCCAAAGGCGCGGGATTACAGGCTGAGCCACCGAGCCCAGCTTACACCAATAATTTTAAGATAGCTTTTAATGTGTGGGAAAAAATAAAAGTAAAATCAAACTGTGTCCTAAAACATTACTTAAGGATACTTGGAAGGCTTGGGTGGCTCATGCCTGTAATCCTAGCACTTTGAAAGGCAAGGCGGGAGGATCACTTGAGCCCAGGAGTTAAAGACCGGCACAGCCAACATAGCGAGACCTCATCTCTACAAAAAAATTTTAAAATCTAACCGGGTGTAGTGGTGTATGCCTGTAGTCCCAGCTAATTGGGAGACTGAGGCAGGCAGATCACTTGAACCCAGCAGGTCAAGACTGCAGAGAGCTATGATCATACCATTGCACTTCAGCCTTGGCAAAAGGTGAGACTCTGTCTTTAAAAACAGACAAATAAACAAAAACCTTAAAAGAGGTGCTTGGAGCTGGGCTTGGTGTCTCAGCCTGTAATCCCACGCCTTTGTGAGGCTGAGGTGAGTGGATTGCCTGAGCCCGCGGGTTCGAGACCCGCCTGGGCAGGCAAGATCTCATCTCTGCAATAAATCAAAAAATTAGCCGGGTGTGGTAGCGTGTGCCTGTAGTTCCAGCTACTTGGAAGGCTGAGGTGGAAGGATCGCCGGAGCCCAGCAGGTTGAGGCTGCGGTGGCCGGGAGCAGCCACTGCACTCCAATCTGGGTGACAGTGAGACTCCAACTCAAAAAAAACGTGCTTGAGAAACATGAGACTTCTCTGTTTCTTATCCCATCTTAGTATGATACCTTTTAATTTTTACTTTGGCCATAATTTATCGTTGTATGTCTTATTTATTTTAGAATCATATCGGCCACTTGAACTCTTTAGGCTACCACTAACTCAAAGTTGGTTAATTCTCTGCTAATGATTACACCATCGATGTGGAGGCTAATTAAAGTCTCATCTTCAGAGACAGTCTGCCTGGCTTCATATCTAGCTCTGCCACTTTACAGTTGTGTAACTGGGTAAATTATACCTTCATGTGGGTCAGGCATGGTGGCTCATGCCTGTAATTCCAGCACTTTGGGAGGCCGAGGTGGGAGGATTGCTTGAGCCCAGGAGTTTGAGAGCAGCCTAAGCAACATAGCAAGATTGTGTCTTTACAAAAAATAAAAATATTAGCTGGGCATGGTGGCACGCACCTGTAGTCCCAGCTACTCGACACGTGCCACCATGCCCAACTAATTTTTTTCTTTATTGGAGAGATTAGTTCTCACCAAGTTGCCTAGGCTGGTTTCGAACCCTGGGCTCTGGCAATCCTCTTGCCTCCCAAAGTGTTGGATGAATTAACTTGTCTTAAAAGCATCATTAGAGTTCTGAGACTTCTCTAAATCAAAGCCATATGATATGGCTTCCCTACCAGGGAGCAACAGAGAAGTTATATATAATATTTTTAAATGTTACTAGAATTAGATTCAAACTGTGGTTTTGTTGTTGTTGTTGTTACCCAAAATATCTAATTACTATCCCATCGAAAAATGTGTATGTGTGTTTCTGTTTTCTTGAGAGGGGTGATAAAATAGATGATGGTGTTGAGAAGAAAACCTTCACTTTGAAGAAATGCATGACTCACTAATATAAACTATGAACAGTTCTTTTAAAAGGTGTGTGCTTCTAATGCTGTTTCCTACCAGGTACTTAACACATGTTGATTATAAGACTCTACTTTTTTTATTTTATTTTATTTTATTTTTTTTTTGAGTTGGAGTCTCACTCCATTGACCAGGCTGGAGTGCAGTGGCACACTCAAGGCCACTCAAGCGTCAACCTGCTGGGCCCCGGCGATCCTTCTGCCTCAGCCTTCCTATACAGATGCATGCTACCATGCCTGGCTAATTTTTTATTTATTGTAGAGACGAGTTCTCGCCAAGTTACCCAGGCTAGTCTCGAAACCACGGGCTCAGGCATTCTGCTCACCTTGGCCTCCCAAAGTGCTGGGATTACAGGCTGAACCACAAAACCTGGCCAAGACTCTACTTTTAAAGAATGAATTAGATGAATCTTAATAGCATAAAGGAATTGAGGGATCCCTAAAATGAACACTTTTCAATGGAAGTCCTATTAGCTATTCTTTGACAACCCACAAAATGTCTCTATCTTTATGAAGTTGTAATTATACTTTTTTAGAATTTGGTATGAGTAGCCTCCTACGTGCACCTGTAGACCCAGCTGCTGAGGAGGTTGAGGTGAGAGGATAACTTGAGCCCAGAAGTTTGAGGCCAGCCTGGAAAACATAGTGAGACCCCCCCACCGCCACCTCTACAAAATTTAATAATCATGATAGCCTGCTAAAAATTGATGTGGCATGTGAAGATGAACTCAGAAACAGGGTACATTCTTCTTCAAAATAAAAAAAAAAAGGATGAAGAGTTCATCAGTCTTAACCAAAGTTACAGACTAAACACTTTACGATTAATAAAATAATCATAAAATATAATTGAATGTCTGAATAAAATTTTCCATATAGAAGTCTGTTAAAAAACAAAAGTCAACTTGATACCTGAATTTTATCTCATATTTAATAAGTTTCCGTATAGAGAATAGAGACAACCTGACCCTTTTAGACTGTGGAATGCCTGAAAAAGCATTTTTAAAATAATATTGTGAACAATTATAGTCAGCACTTTTAAGCAGGATAATTAAAGTTAGGAACCTATCTGGCAAAAGTTCAAGTGCTCTAACTTTGAAAGTCAGCTGCTGAGTATGCATGTATAAGCAATATTTATTTCTGTAAGATATAACCTTGCATGTGGCTAATCAGAATTTTTAAGACCTAGACTTTTGCTATCACAGATTATGTATTCCCTCATGCAAAATCATTAGTCTACCAAAAGATGGCAGCTTTGTTCCTCACAAGTTTCTGTTACAATATAAAAATAAATGGTTATGGTGGTTTCTTTTTATTACCATCTGTAACACTTTTTACCCTCCACTAGAATACAAGCTTTTTATGTAGAAGAAAAAAAGGGTGTTGAGGCTTTCTGAAACTAGCCATCTTTTTTTATTGTTATGTTTTAGGAATTTGCCACTTTGCAAACAGTCCTTCTGTTTTGGGCTTCTTTACTATGGGCTACCCTTATATTGTGTTCCTCAAATGACCATGAAATGTGAACCAGAAAAAACGATTTTTAAAAAAGAAATCTCAGCTTGTTGAAAGAGATCCTTTCTTTCCATAGGCAAATTTGGCCAAATTTAGCTCCCTCTGCTGAAACATGGACCTTTTTGCTCCAAATTGAAGGGTTCTTTCATAAGGAAATCTAAGCACTTGGTATTTTGAATAGTGCTTTATTCAAAAAGAACTTGATTGACTGAACAAAATAGCTCAAATTCTTGTTTGTCTGCCTCTCCCCATGTTAAATCTGAACATAAAATGCAAATTATTTGGTCTAGTTATTAAAATTATGAAATATTAAGTTAAAAGCTGCTATTTGGAAACAAGTTATTAGCATTTTTTCTTTTCTGTCATGATTGGATGAATGTTACTGGCTTGTGGAGTCTAGATGTTTATAAGACAATTTCTCAGGGGGAAGCGATAAGCTCCCCACTGTAAATCAGTAATTGTAAAAGACTTAGTGTTTGGGTAAATGACTGCTACTTAACCTCTATTCTAGAAAACGGAAAAAGAGCATTTTCATTCAACAATGAAACACATAAATTAAAAGCTTCTAAAATATTTGAAATTTGTGCTTCTTAAAAAATATATACAGTTTATAGGAAGGAAACTATTCCCAGAAATTCTCAACATAAAAAATATTCAGGATTAGCAATATAGCACCATTGACTTCCAAGGCTCTTGGTTACAGAATTACCTTTGAAAAAATGTATCAAAAGCAGCCTTGTCCCTAATAGCCACTGAATCATTGTACTACTTTAGCATACTTAAAAAAAAAAAAAGGAAGATGGGAAAGTAGAAAAGGCTGTGTGTTTATTTAACCTTACAATGGGGATCCATTTAAACTTTTAATATGTTTATATCTGAACATGAAGAATTAACACTATAGAGTCTACTAAGAATAGACTTACATATTAGATACATATACTAATATTATGAGATTCTCAACACAAGAGGACTGTTTTTTTGAAACATGATCATGTATTTTTGAAAAGTCATTTGGAAGGCCAGAAACAATTTTTTAAAGCCCTACCAAGATTAAATACATGGTCTAAATTTATTGCTTTTTGGACATTAAAGTATTGAGATTAATTATTAAAGGAGACTGTATAGTACTGTAGAAAACATGGAGGATTCAAGTTCAATTTTTGTTTTTTTGAGACAGAGTCTTGCTTTGTTTCCCAAGCTGTCCTCAAATTCCTGGGCTTAAGTGATCTGCCTGCCGCATCTTCACAGTTAGCTGGGATTTACAGACATGCACCATTGCTCCCAGCTCAATATTTTTTGGCAGTATTTCTGATTTTCATCAAATAATTTAATCTCAGTTTTTCTATCAGTAGTAATATATAAGCCAGGTATGGTGGCTCATGCCCATAATCCCGACACTTTGGGAGGCCGAGGCAAGAGGATTGTTTGAGCCCAGGAGTCAAGAGACCAGCCTGGGCAACATGGTAAGACATTGTCTCTACAAAAACTAAAGTTAATCAAGTGCGATGGCACCTTCCTATAGTCCCAGCTACTTGGGAGGCTGAGGTAGAAGGATCACCTAAACCCAGGAGGTCAAGGCTATGATGAGTGCTCCATCCTGGGCAACAGTGAGACCCCCCCAACTCAAAAATAGCATAAATAATATAAACACTTATTAGATATTTAATAGTTAAGGTTTATTAATGGCATGATAGGAATTCTCATCCCAATTACTTAATAGAGCTTTTTATCACAATGTTAGAGATAAGGAAACTAGAGAGGGTAAAAACAGTTAGCCCTGAGTACCACAACTAGTAAGTGGAATTGCTGGAATTCAGCTCTGAGGCTACATTACTCTAGAGCTGGTATCTCTATACTACCTCTAATAAATGCTTGTTATGGCCAGGCTTAGTGGCTCAGCCTGTAATCCAAACACTTGGGAGGCCAAGGCGAGTGAATTGCCTGAGCCCACGGGTTCAAGACCAGCCTGGGCAACTTGGCGAGACCTTGTCTCTGAATCAAAAATTAGTCAGGTGTGGTAGCGTGCCTTGTAGTTCTGGCTACTGGAAAGACTGAGGCAGAAAGATCACCAGAGCCCAGCAGGTTGAGGCTGCGGTGACTGTGAGCGTGCCACTGCACTCCAGCCTGGGCAACAGAGTGAGACTCCAGCTCAAAAAATAAAAAGAAATGCTTGTTATTATTTGCCTGACTTACCTTCAAAGAGATGATGTGAAGATAAATGCGGTAATGTATTCGTATATACTTTAAATTTCTCAATTCGTATTTTTCACAGTATTTAAAATGTTACAGTATTAATCAGACCTTTAAACATGTTCGACATTTTTTAATTTTCAAAGCTTCATTTAAAGGACAAGAAGCGATTTGAAAAAGCTAACCAGGATTCAGGTCCTGGCTTGAGTCTTGAAGAATTTATTGCTTTTGAGCATCCCGAAGAAGTTGATTATATGACGGTAAGGAAGAAAACTTTTTAGAGAATTTTTGAGTGACCAAAACTTTAAAACCTGTTTTCTAACTTAAAGTGAAATGTATAACAATCAGAATTTTAAAAGACAGGAAGATGTTGAACAATCCCAGACTCCCCCCACTTGAGATTAGAAGTGGCAGGAGGGGTTCTGGTAGTGGTGAGGTTGTTGTTGGGAGGGAGAAGGTCAAGGACTGGTGTTTTGTCTCTGAACCATGTATGAGCAGTAGTCCTCTTCTGGCTAGTTCCTCTCTCATAACTATATTACCTCCAGTGCCTTCCTTAGCCTTTTGTAGCTTTCATACTTTTCAGCAATTTTCCTATGTCATTAACCCTAGGACTTCTGTTTAATTTACGATATCACTTACAAAAGCTTTTGATCTGGAAAAATGTATCATGTTTGATTCCTTTTCATAGGGTGGGGCGGGGGTGGGTGCAGCTGCTAAAGACTATTAATATTTTTGCAATTTTAGGCATGAGTCTTCTCATCCCTTTAATATTTAAAAGAAGTGCCAGATTTTCTTTTCTTTTTTTCTTTTCTGTGTTTTATTTTTCCAGCTTTTAAAAACTTGTTGAAGTCTAGGTTTAATTCAGTTAACATTGATTGAGGTCCTTACCATGACTTGGCAAGCTTGACGACAGAAACCATCACACTGGGGAGTAAAGATTAATGTGACAAATAACTTTTTTAAAAGAAGACTAAACATTTATATTGCAGTCTATTGCATGGCATCAGCCTCTAGCTATGTGGCTTGACTCCCTGAATATTTCAGGGAGGAAAGATGTAGCTTTTTGTTTAATGGGTTGTGGTGAGAACGTGCTGCCTTGAAGAACAAAGCTGCAGGCACATTTTTCCTCATAGCTCAGTGGCAAGACACTGCCATTGGTACCACTTCTCTTGCCATTGTGAAGTTTCTAATTTCTCACTAGCACAAAATACATGACCCAGTTTAAGAACAGTGCTGGGCGTCATTTAAGTGCCAAAATTAAGTTGGGACGAGCTGAGGAACCCAAGAGTGGCAGGCAGAGGATGCTAGATATAGATTCTCTGGAGAATAAGGAACAATTGAAGACTAAAAAGGGGAATGACCTGTAAGAGCAATGAAATAATTTAGGCATTCTATGATATGGCCCTGGAGTACCATATGGCAATATGGTATGGAATGAAATTGATTTGAACATTTTGAAGAAAGTATAAACAGGAATGTTGACTTACTAAATAGGTGTTAAGAGAAGGTAAGAGTCAGAGATGACCCTGAGGTTTTGAACTCGTGTAATAATGATAAGGTAGTACCTTTGACAGGAAGGGTATGTCAGGATGATCTCTCTCTGACAGTGCTCTTTGTGCAGTGTTGAAGTTGTAGGCAACACCTAAGATGTGACCATAAGCAGTAGGTGTTTCATTCAGAGCAGCTTCCTTAATTACTATTACTTTGTTTTTGTGTATCCCTTTTCCCCTTTAAGAGAGTATATTTGGTACAGGAAAAGGCAAGGCTACAAGATCAACTAAATTATCCCATTGTGGATTAAGTCAGACTTTAACTTGGTATTTTCATGTAGTTTTGACAATTCATTTAACTATGACAGCATTATTGAAAAATCTATTGTTTCTAAGATTACCTGGATAGAGGAATAATCATTTCGATCAGTGGTTCTTAACTTTAATTGCATCACAGACTTCTTAAGAATATGTTATGAGCAGGGCTCGGTGGCTCAGCCTGTAATGCCTCGCCTTGGGAGGCTGAGGTGAGTGGATTGCCTGAGCCCGCGGGTTCGAGACCCGCCTGGGCAACTTGGCGAGACCTCATCTCTACAATAAATAAAAAAAATTAGCTGGGCGTGATTGTGCGCATCTGTAGTTCCAACTACTTGGAAGGCTGAGCCGGAAGGATCACCAGAGCCCAGCAGGTCGAGGCTTCGGTGGCCGGGAGCGTGCCAGTGCACCCCAGTCTGGGTGACACAGTGAGACTCCAACTCAAAAAAAAAAAAAAAGAATATGTTATAAACTATGGAGTCTGTCCTAGAAAAATCACACACGAAATATTAGATTATTGGCTTATAATTTCAAAGGATTCTCAGATACTCCTTCTAAAACTAATCTTTGGATTCCTAGGTTAAGATTCCCTGATTTCTATGTATAAAATACACAATATTTGATTTAAAAAAAAACTTGTATTTAAGTGCTGTCTCATAGAGATGTAGATGAAACCCTGGATTTGTCTAGAATCGGAGACTTCTGAGAATATATTTTTATTACAGTTGTGGTGCTGGAATTTGGATAGAAAGTTGTGAGGGAGCCAGGCGCCGTGGCTCACGCCTGTAATCCCAGCACTTTTGGAGGCAAAGGCGAGAGGATTGCCTGAGCCCATGGGTTCAAGACCAGCCTGGATAGCATGGCAAGACCTCATCTCTACAGTAAATCAAAAAAATTAGCTGGGCATGGTGACACATGCCTATAGTTCCAGCTACTTGGAAGGCTGAGGCGGAAGGATTGCGTGAGCCCAGCGGGTTGAGGCAGCATTGGCCATGAGCGTGCCATTGCACTCCAGCCTGAGCAACAGAGTGAGACTCCGACTTTTAAAAAAAGAACAAAAGGTTGCGAGGGAGGCAGCAAGTTGTGAGAAAATGAGAATGGTAAATGTAACCTATGAGAACCAGAATGCTAAAGAATGCAGCAAAACCTGAGACTTGCATGTGTTTAAGGCACTAGAAGGAAGAGAGAATGGAGAAGAGATTGGAGGCTTGGGAGAGGCAGGAACTAAGAGTTTAAAACACTCAAGAAATGGGAAAGGATGGGTTCTAGGAAGAGTTGAGGGCTTTGCCCAGAAGAGGAGAGAGAGTTTTAATTTCTGAAATCGAAGAGAAGGATGAGAGGAATAGATACAAAAAGTGAGGCAATTAAGTGTGAGGATACAATGCTGGTAAACAAGGAAGCATTTCAGAAAACTTATATTATGTTTGGAAAAATAGGAGAGAATGTTGGGGAGGGTTGCAGTGAGGTTTAAAGAAAGTGGAGGTGGAGGTTTCAAAAACAACTGTGGAAAGCTTGTTAGAGAAACTGAGGCAAAGGTAGACTTCCAAGCTGCGATGAGGGCCCACTGAAATGGCAAACATTAATTTATAAGTACTAGGTATATATTTTCGTGTCTTTTTTTTTTGAGTTGGAGTCTTACTCTGTCGCCCAGACTGGAGTGCAGTGGCTGCTCCCAGCCACCGCAGCCATGACCTGCTGGGCTCCAGCGATCCTTCCACCTCAGCCTTCCAAGTAGCTGGAACTACAGGCACGCACTACCATGCCCGGCTAATTTTTTGATTTATTGTCGAGATGAGGTCTCACCAAGTTGCCCGGGTGGGTCTCGAACCCACGGGCTCAGGCAATTTACTCACCTCAGCCTCCCAAAGCACAGGATTACAGGCTGAGCCACCGAGCCCGGCTCATGTCTTTCTCTTTGGGCTTTATGGCTGTGGAAGAAAGGGGAAAGTGGTGTGGGTCTAATGTGCAGGATAGGGATTGGCATAAGGAAAAGGCACAAGAGGCAGCAGGCAGCAGACACTCTTGCTGTCGTCCTGTCCTTGTGCCTTTCACAATGTATCTTTCTTTTAATAAGGCTACTTTTCCTAGTTCATAAAAGAAAAGAAGAGAAAAGAAAAAGGCACAAGAGGAGATTGGCGAATTTCCAAAGCAGCTGGCCATAGTGGCATCTCACTAGAAGGGAGCTGCTCTTTAAGTCAGAGAATAGGGATTGGTCGTTGGATAAAAAGCCATGAAAAGAGTGAGGAACAGATCTGGGGGCAATTTGGGGTGGTGGGGGTAGGTTTGGTGAAAGAGAAAGCAAGGAGGTTAAGGTTTTACGGGGGGCTGGCACATTTCAGGTTTGGAAGTAAAACAGCAGTTTATGCAGAGGGATTTAAGGTAAGGATTCTTTTAGGGTTGTTAATGGATTGGAGAGCAAATGGAGTTTGAAGAAGACAAGAGAGTAAGGGATACCGTTTTTGAGAGGGAGGGGATTGTGCCAAAGATAAGAAGTCTGGGTTTAATGCCGGGGTTGTTGTTGAGAGTGAAGGTGGAGTTCTTCACAATTTCCAAAGCTTAAGGATGCAGATTTAAAGCTACTTAGTCTTGGAGTTTTGTTCTTTCTTCTAAATTACAGTGTTTAGAAAGACTGTCCTGAAAGTATGGACAGCCAAAATGATTATTCCTGAAGAAGTTCTGTAGGGTTAGGATGGTGGTAGGATTGACAATTTTGTGACTTTTTTTTTTTTTTAATGAACATGCAATAGGAATTTGTCATTCAAGAGGCTTTAGAAGAACATGACAAAAATGGCGATGGATTTGTTAGTTTGGAAGAATTTCTTGGTGATTACAGGCGAGATCCAAGTAAGTTACCTAAGGGAATGTGGAAGGAGGAAAAAAGATGGAATTAAAGAAAGAAATTTAAAGACAGTCTTGCCCATTGAAAGCTCTCTTTGGCCAAGGACAATGTTAAACAAGAGGAACTGTGTCTGATTTCTACTTGTTCTGCTAAGTTAACTGTAATATAAGTTCAACAAATGAATTTATAGCTTCTCTGAGAATATTGTCTTGCTCACTTTTACTTCCATGTCTAGATTCAAACAGTTTTCTTTCTTCTCAAACAAATGTAATGTAATTATAAGTTCACACAGGGAAGTAAAGGTTGATGTTTTTAAACAATTCTATACTTTGCATGTGGATTTTAGAAGAGAAAGAAACATAAATACTATACATACTGGTATAAACTGTAGAAGGTGCCTAAGTGTTTGAAATAGGAATCTTCCTTTATATAAGCAGCTGTGTTTTTTCAGAATGGTTGCTTAGAAGCATCAAACAATGCTATTTAAAAATTGATTACCAGTTTTACTTATTGTGACTGTCACTTTAAAATTACTCATGGCATTACTTTGTGAGAACACATAGAAAATGCTCCATACTCACATAATGTACATAAAAACACTATCCAACTCATACTTGGGAAAACTAGATATCAGAACGAGTAGCGGCAGTTAACAAAATTACTAATTTGTGATAATATGCAGTGATTTTAAAACTATGAATTACTTAGAATTAAGTGTCGCTTTTGAAAATTATATTTGTACTCACTTCAGGGCTTTTCAGTTACGTAGTTCTGTTTTATTGGGCTTCCTTTATGTAGTCAACTTTAAATTCACTTTATTCTAGGGATATACCAAACTTATTGGAGACATGTGATATTCTTGTGTATGTATATTTGTGTTTTTTTATATTAAGCTGCAAATGAAGATCCAGAATGGATACTTGTTGAGAAAGACAGATTCATGAATGATTATGACAAAGATAACGATGGCAGACTTGATCCCCAAGAACTGTTATCTTGGGTGGTACCCAATAATCAGGGCATTGCACAAGAGGAGGTAAGTGTTACAGAAGACTATTCTTTCCCCTGCTGTCCAAATTTGGTGCTATTGATAGGAAAAGAAGTTCAAAATCTTAAGGAAAAGAAGTTCAAAATCTTAAGCAAAAGAAAAAAATAATGGAGTCATTTGGGACTCATGCATTGCTGTGTGTTGAATTTATGTTTTAGGTTGTCAGGGAGATGAGGAAGTTGAGATTGTATCATGTGGTTAATTTTACAGTACAGTGAATAGAATAATAGTTATTGTTTACCTACAGGGGTACAAAGTGGGTTGTAATAATTTTGCTTTACCTTGATATATCCTGGATTGTATTTGAGTGGAGAGGAGACAAAACCAAGTATAAATTAAGAGAGGAGATAATGACTAAAGTGGCAGACAGACCCAGTTACAAAATGTAATATTTTTAGATAACTTAAGACGATAATGAGTACTTGTATACCTGGATGGTTTTGACAAGTCATATCACGTTAAATTGTGAATATCTTGCTGAAAATACTTATTATACGTGACAGCTTTTTTTTTGTTTTAAAGGCTCTTCATCTAATTGATGAAATGGATTTGAATGGTGACAAAAAGCTCTCAGAAGAAGAGATTCTGGAGAACCAGGACTTGTTTCTCACCAGTGAAGCCACAGATTATGGCAGACAGCTCCATGATGACTATTTCTATCATGACGAGCTGTAATTCCTCAGTAGGTCTGAGTAGAGTACTGGGTCCTTTTATAATTTGTTACCAGCTTTACTTTTGTGATAAAGTATTAATGTTGTATTTTACACTCAAGTCTTACTACAGTCAGAATTATCTTAATGTAGATTATAATTTTGGCCTTTTAGAAGAAAAACAATAAAAACTTGATATTTATTTCAAAACGCATTGAAGAAACAAAACATTAATATTGTGCCATATGACAAGAGAGTCTTTCTTAAATACTTCATCTGTTTAGTACTGTACTGTGGAATATTTGGGTTCTATTTCCATACTTGAAAATGGAGGATTTTCGAGATGCCTGAACAATATTATTTAAGTAGTATGTGACTGAGCTGTCAATTTTTGGTTTTGTTCTAAGTAGATTTAATTTGGGAACTGACAGAAAGGACAATGTTTTTAGGTTTAGCATTTTGTTTTAAAACCTTTAAAGGAACCTTTAGAAGGACTTAACATCTCACATATTAATGTTGAGAGTTCTTAATTTTAAAATGGTTTCGATAAAGGGTCTTATTGTATGAAATAGAACTTTATATTTTTGCATATGTATAGATAGTAATTATATTTAATGTAAAACTATAGCATTATGGTGTGTGGAATTTGACATTGTCTGGAACCTTTTTCATTTTTGACTGATTAAAAAATGAAATGTCCTATCTTTTTACATGTTTGTTTGCTTTTCTTTGATCTTCTGTATAAACCTTGGATTTAGTACATTATCTTGCCTCATTCATTCCTTTACTTGAGTAGTAACGTTTTCAAAACTGTTAAATTATTCTTGCTGCATTTTCTTATTTTACTTTTAAAAAAAATAAAAGAATCGTGTTGTAATCACATATATACCTGACACATTTTAACTGCTCTTATAGCAAATGTGGTTTTACTATTTGGAGCTAGAAATAATCTTAAGAGTGATGGAGGGTGGGATTGCCAGTAGAGCTGATTAGTTAACTACAGCAGTGGAGCTTGATATCAATTATACTAAAATTAAAATCATACTTGATAAGCATTTGTCCATTTTAACCTCATTCAAGAGGTCAACTTAGTCACTTCAGGTGGGGGTAGGGTAGGGAAAAGGTAAGTGACGAGTTAATTGTTTTCAATTCTGACCCACAGGTAGTTTTTTGTTTTTTTTATTCTTACATTACTTTGATTTGTGGGTAAAGAGGTCAGCTATGCTTTCTGTTAATCGTTTTCCAGTCTAAAGTTGTCTCTCATATCTCACACACAGCATTCTGGGGACTCAACAAGTACCTATAAGCATTTGAGAGGATGTGAAGCTCTTTTCTGATAGAATTGACAGCACCTACATACCTCTCCACTGCCCTGTCTTGGCTGATGTGACATGTGATTGCAAATTGTGATTTCTCACACCTTAATGAGAGCTTGCCTGACCTGGTGTCTAAAGTACATAGTTTTCATTTTAGCCTACAGCACCTATCTGGCTATAGCAGTTTAAGAATTAGAAATGTACCATGATCACTCATCTGTCATTTGTCAGCCTTGCTGAACCTGGGATATTTTGAATAACCAGTTTGATTAGAATGTTCACTGTTTTTCTTGCTAACATCTTCAAAATCTGTGCCAGAATTGTGAGGGCATCGGATAGGATTTTATTTTGATCCTTTGCAGAAGTGCCCTTACTGAGTTAAGACTTAACATTCTGTGCTCAGCCTTGATACCGTGCAGTCATGAGGATTTTGGTGATGCTATTAGTGTTTACAGTGTCTGTACTACTTTCTCTCCTATCACAAAACACTCCCACCCCTCTTGTAGTTAGGTAGTGGCTAGTTCTGACCATTAAATGTGAGTGGAAGTAGTGTGTGTCACTACCAGGCTAGGTCATGACAAACCCCTTTCCTCTGCTGTGGCATCGTGCAGAAGACCTCAGTTGAAAGAGTAGAGCCACAGACCCAAGTGACCTTGATTGCCAAATGACCATATGGAAGTCAGCTGGATCCACAGTGGACTTCGATCAAAAAGTAAGTTTTTCTTATGTTAAGCCACTGATATTTGTGTGCAATTTTTTTTTCTAGATTGAGAAAATAGTTTTATTTTTCTCAAAATAATGTCATAGTGTTTTCCACAGTGACTGTGCCATTTTGCATTTTCATTAATAGCAAGAGTTCCAATTGCTCCACATCTTTGCCAACACTTTTTTATTATTATTACTATAGCCTTCCTAATGCGTATGAGGTGGTATCTTAGAAAGTAGATTGGAAAGAGAGAGAGAGAGGGAAAAGGGGGTTCCACCTCCCCCAGATTAGGGAGGGGTCAAGGCTTAAAGAAAAGCATGGCCTGGTCGAGTGATTTTTGTTTTGGGGGGTTTTTTTGGAGTCAGAGTCTAACTCTGTCTCCCAAGCATGAGGTCATGGCCAAGCATGAGGTCATGGCCACTGCCACTTCAACCTTCTGGGCTCAAATGATCCTTCCACCTCAGTCTTTCAAGTAGCCAGAACTATAGGTGTGTGCCAACATGCCCAGCTAATTTTTTGATTTATTGTAGAGACAAGGTCTTGCCACCTTGCCCAGGCTGGTCTCGAACCCCTGGTCTCAGGCAGTCTCTTGCCTCCACCTCCCAAAGTGCTGGAATTACAGGCATGAGCCACCGCGGCCCAGCTTGCTTTTTGTTTTTAACCATAGGAGAGCCCCATCCTATCCTAAATGAGTGAAGATTTAACATTTAACAATTAGCTTTTGGTAAGCTTGCAGCAATCATCTGCTTGAACAGAGATTCTATATCTAGTGCTGAGTCAAAAAAGAAAACTTTTTAAGGCTTTTTATTTGGATTTTAATTTTAAATAAGCCTCTTTAAAAAGAAAGCTTTTTATTTTAATAGAATCAGGATAATTTGAATTTATCCTTGAACATGAGAGTAAAAATATGAGGCTTTCTGTATTATTGGCTGATTCTGCCTGAAGGACTTAATCACTTCAATTATTTGACTTCAGTTACAACTTGAAAATGGAAAAGTTGATGGGACTTGCACAGATCAACTCATGGCTTTGGGCAAATTTACAGGACAGAAAATGTCAAGACTGTGATATGAACTTGAAGCATGTCATGTTTGCCTAACTTAGTTCTTTCCTTCGCAGTTTCTTTAATAGACTTTTTTTTTTTGAGTTGGAGTCTCACTCAGTCGCCCAGACTGGAGTGCAGTGACACACTCCCTGCCACCACAGCCTCGACTTGCTGGGCTCCGGCGATCCTTTTGCCTCAGCCTTCCAAGAAGCCGGCACTACAGGCGCATGCTACCACGCCCGACTAATTTTTGATGTAGAGATGCGGTCTCCCCAAGTTGCCTGTGCTGGTCTCAAACCCTCAGGCTAAGGCAATTCACTCGCCTCCGCCTTAGATTTTATTTTTTAAAGTAGTTTCATGTTCACGGCAAAACTAAGTAGAAAGTACAAAGAAATCCAATACCCTTGCCCCCACAGATGCACAGACTTCCCTGCTGTGAACATCTCACTCCAGAGTGATACATCTTATAATCAATGACCCCATATTAACATATTATCACCTGAAGCCCGTAGTTTAGGGTTCACTCTTGGTCGTGTACATTCTGTGGGCTTGGACAAAGGTGTAATGACATTTCCACCACTGCATCATACAGAATATTTTCACCTCCCTGAAAGTCATCTTTGCTCCACCTACTTATCCCTTCCTCCCCTTAATTCTTGGAAAATACTGATTTTTTTTTTTACTGTCTATACTTTTTTAATGTGGTAAAGTACACATAACATAAAATTTACCATCTTAACCATTTTTAATTGTACAGTGTGCAAATCACTACCATTCATCTCCATGAAATTTTGTGTGTGTGTGTGAAACATACTATACTCTTTACACTAGAACTCTCCATTCCCTTTTTCCTGCAACACCTACCTGGCAACCACCATTCTAGTTTCTCTCTATGGATTTAACTAGTCTACTTGTCTTTTCTGTGACTGACTGACTTCACCTAGCATAAGGTTCACCCATGTTGTAGCAGATTGAGGAATTTCAGTCCTTTTTAAGGCTAAATAACATTTCATTTTCTGTATATGCCACATTTTGTGTGTCCATTCACTAATGGACTGTTGGATTGCTTCTACTTCTTGGGTACTGTGAATAATGCTGCTAAGAGTATGGGTATACAAATCTCTCTGAGACTTGCTTTCAATTCTTTTGGGTATATATGTGGAAGTGGAATTGCTGAATCATATGGTAATTCTAATTTTTTAAATTTATTTATTTAGATTCGGAGTCTCACTCTGTTGCCCAGACTGGAGTGCAGTGGCACACTCACGGCCACCCCAGCGTCGACCTACTGGGCTCCGGTGATTCTTCCACCTCAGCCTTCCAAGTAGCTGGAACTACAGGCACACGCTACCACGCCCGGCTAATTTTTGACTTATTGATGAGGTCTCACCAAGTTACCTGGGCTGGGCTCGAACCCACAGGCTCAGGCAATCCACTCACTTCAGCCTCCCAAAGTGCTGGGATTACAGGCTGAGCCACTGAGCCCAGCCTCTAATTTTAATATTATGAGGAACTGCCATAGTGTTTTCCACAGTGACTGCCATTTTGCATTTTCATTAATAGCAAGAGTTCCAATTGCTCCACATCTTTGCCAACACTTGTATTATTATTATTACTATAGCCTTCCTAATGGGTGTGAGGTAGTATCTCATGTGGCTTTGATTTGCATTTCCCTGATTATTCTGTCTATAGTTTTGCCTTCTCCTTAATATCGTTCCTTTGCAATTTTAAATGTGAAGATAAATTTATGCTATTGTTTTTCAAAGGTTTTTGTGTTACAATGTCTCCTTTTAAGTGAGAAATTTCTACCTAAGGTTATGAAATCTTTTTCACTTAGGAAAAAGGTTTAGGAAACCACTTAGAGTCAAAGTTTTTAAACAAGTGTAACAACTAATTTATTTCAACATTGAATTTTTGTCGAATAGATATTTGGCCAGATTTCCTGGCTGTTATAACATTTTTTACAGCTGGTGATTCAACTACCTACAGGTCTCCAGTTCAGCTACTACAACATCTCAATTTTATTTGGAAAAAAAAGAATCAATCCAAGCACAAAGAAAAACAAGTACTGTAAAATACCTGGAGTTTGCCCTAGTTTTGTTTTTTTTTTTTGAGTTGGAGTCACTCTGTCGCCCAGACTGGAGTGCAGTGGCCGCTCCCGGCCACCGCAGCTTCGCCTGCTGGTCTCTGGCGTATAAAACTTTTAAAGGGATTTTTTTTTTTTTTTAAATCTCAAAGCTTTTAATCATGGTTTTTCATACCTAAAAAAACCCAAAACCTACTCTTGTGTTTTATTCCACAGAAATTTTCTTCTGAGACCAGGCTCCAGTGAGCAGACATCACTATTTTGTACCATTATTTGTACCCTTAGCCGTGGTTAGTAACATAAAGACAGCATCCCATTATAATGGTGCACTAAAAGCATAAACCTTTTTGTGACACCTGTTGGCTTGCCTGAATTAATGCTTTGTTGTTGCATCTACAACAAATGATGTCATGCAGGTGATTTATTTTGTAAGAGTACTTTAATGAAAACCTGAATTAAAGTTAATTATAGATGACTTCATGGTGGTAAGGAAGGGATGCTAAACTAGGCTGAGGCTGAGGTGTGACTAGGCTGTTTACAGTTATTTTACCTACTGTCATCTAGAAATTAGTCTTCAATCTCTGTTCCTTCAGCCCTTCCACTTTAAAATCT